GGAAAGAGGAAGAGGTCAAAGGCAACACAGATCCCAAAGAGAAGTCCTAGCACAAAGGATTCTTTGGAGAGGGGTCAGGGTCAAACTTCAAAATAAATTTAAAATCTAGAAGCAGGTTAGGTTAAAGGTCACGGGGAAAGTTGGGTTTAAGTTCGAACGCGAGGTAGTTATTGAGGCACTTTATCTATGGAATGAGCCCCGGACTATCAACCAGTAGATCTGGATTCTATGTTTCGACTTCTACTGCTAACTTGTTGGTTGACTTTGCCAAGTTATTTACTCTCTGAGTTCACCTCTCCTGTTTGTAAAATGGCGTAAACAGTGCGTACTCCTCTTCAGCGCGCTGGGCTTAGAGCAGGAAGAGAAGGAAAGGAAAATCAGCGCTTTGTAAAGTTAAACGCATTGCGCCAAGATGAAGCAGTTACTCCGTCACCCTGAGCTGTGGTCCCCCTTTCCAGTTCCTTGTCTTCCTCCGTCGGCCTGGGGGCGCCCGCTCGCAGGGCCTCTCTATCCCAGAGCTCCTCTCTATGGTTTCCCCCTCCCGGACCGTGAAGGCTGGAGGGAGTGGTCACACGCCTTTTCCGCTTGTTTCCCCCCCCCCGCCCCGCTCTAGCCCACAGTCTCGCTGCCCCGAGCCTCCCGTGCCGGCGGGCCGGCCGGGCGGACGGGCGGGCCCGCGGGGGGCGCGGGGGGCGCGCGGGGGGCGGGGGGAGTTCCGGTTCCGGTTCTTTGTGCAGCTGCAGCAGCGGCTCCGGGAAAGATGGCGGCCCGGGCGGGTTTCCAGTCTGTGGCTCCGAGCGGCGGCGCCGGAGCCTCAGGAGGGGCGGGCGCGGCGGCTGCCCTGGGTCCGGGCGGGACTCCGGGGCCTCCGGTGCGAATGGGCCCGGCGCCGGGTCAAGGGCTGTACCGCTCCCCGATGCCCGGAGCGGCCTATCCGGTGAGTGCGGCAGGAGGAGGGGCGCGCTGGCCGGGGGCGGGGCCGTGCGGGGGCCTGGGAGTGACGGGTGGGGGGAGGAGTAGGAGGGACTCGCCTGGGAGGGATTCGGGCCGTGAGTCGGGGTGCAGGGAGGCAGTGCGGGGAAGGGAAGGGAGGCAATTAGCATCCTCATCTGCTCCTAGGGGCATTGTTTTCTTGGGGAGTCAGGGTGTACAACCAGGGTGGACGAAGAAGTGGGGCGAAGCATGGGCCTGTGAGAGCTTGTGTGCAGAAGGGCCTAGGCAGCTCCAGCGCCCAGAGGAACACAGAAGGGGTAGCTGGCAAATTGAGGTCAGCTTCTGAGGAGACAGTAGCTGGCAGTACTCTCTGAGCAAATGTGGAATTAGAGATGTCCAATGCGCCAGATACAAAATAGACTGGGGAGAATTGGAGTGTAATCTAGCTGTCTTAGCTTTGGGGCTATATTTGAGGAAGCTCCAGTTATCTAGATTTCACAGAGATAGAGGGCTCTCCCCCCAGCCCACCACTGTGCTCCACCCCACCCCTCAGCCTTGTTTCATTCAAAGAACTCAGGCCTCCCCAACTTTGCCTTTCTTGGTGGGGTTTGCAGGGGAAGCGATGACATCTCTGGGTCCTCTCCCCTGTGTAGAGACCAGGTATGCTACCAGGCAGCCGGATGACACCTCAGGGACCTTCCATGGGACCCCCTGGCTATGGGGGGAACCCTTCAGTCCGACCTGGCCTGGCCCAGTCAGGGATGGACCAGTCCCGCAAGAGACCTGCGCCTCAGCAGATCCAGCAGGTCCAGCAGCAGGCGGTCCAAAATCGGAACCACAAGTAAGATGACCCCAGGGCGGAGGGAGGGAGGGAGGGAGGAGGCCTGTGAGGATGCAGGTGGTGGGAGTCCCTCAACCGAGAAGTGGTGGTGCTGTGTCAGCAGACGGTGCTCATTCTTGAAAATGCTTTGCGTTTTTTGGGCATGGGTGTCTGACTTGAGACAGGCTTTGCAGTTCCTTCACTTCATTATAAACGGAGGTGCGGACAGCCTGTCTTCATGTTCTGGCTAGTTCCATCCCATCCTGATAAGAGTGTTTATTCCAAACAGTGCAAAGAAAAAGAAGATGGCTGACAAAATTCTACCTCAAAGGGTGAGTCCAGGCTATATAGGTCTTCTTGAAGGTGTGGTGAGCTTGAGAATAGAGATGGTCAGCTCTAGATCCCAATGATATCTTTCTGCTCCTAAGATTCGTGAACTGGTACCAGAATCCCAGGCCTATATGGATCTCTTGGCTTTTGAAAGGAAACTGGACCAGACTATCATGAGGAAACGGCTAGATATCCAGGAGGCCTTGAAACGTCCCATCAAGGTAACAACGCAGGAGAGTGCTAGGCAGAGAGCCAAAGGAGAGGACGCGGGAACCTTCAGCAGGCTTGGGATGGGAAATCAAAGGCGTAGCACAGCTCTCCTTGGCATTTAAATTACATCTCTCCCTTCTGCCTACGAACTGAGAATTACATTAGAAGCATAAGAACAGAACAGCGAAGGGGGAGGGGCTTTTGATATTTCTTGCACCAGAAATATACCCTGTTGTGTTTTTGCTACAACTGCTCTGCCACCTTGGGAACCTGGCACCTTGCATGACTCTGTCCATCTGACATCCTGGTGAATGCACTTGCACTCAGGCCAGTGGCCTGTACTCTTCTTCTAGGTGGAATCTCCATCCACCCACCCCAAGGACTGGGTAGATAGTAAGCCAGTCTGTTAGGAGTCATTTTCAGGTTTGGGGGAGACCCTTGTCTTCATCGTCAAACCACTGAAGCCCCACTATCAATCCTGTTTCTGCCTTCCTCAGCAAAAACGGAAGCTGCGAATTTTCATTTCTAACACTTTCAATCCGGCTAAGTCAGATGCCGAGGATGGGGAAGGGACGGTGGCTTCCTGGGAGCTTCGGGTAGAAGGACGGCTCCTGGAGGATGTGAGTTCAAGGTCCACTGTGGTCGGCATTTAGGGTGGGAGCTGCTGGGAACAAGCAGTATTGTCTGGTTGGCAGGAAGCCTGACTGGTGCTTACAGCTCCTGTTGGGAACAGCAGGGAGAGGGTCACTGTGTTCCCTGTACTAAAAGACAATGGTTCTTTGTTTCTGGCTCCCACAGCTTGGCCCCCTCTGTGGTATCCTATCGAGAACCTTATTGTCATGGGGTTTGATTTGTTGTTTACCTCCTTCCTGATGCTGCTAGCCATTGGACTTGGCAGTATCTGCAGATTTTTCAGTTAGTTAGTTTTTTTTTTTTTTAAACCAAGTGAGTTTGCACTTAGCATTTGGGTCATGCTTTCCTCTCTGAGTCCTTGAGGTCCTCGATCTCCACTGTGGCATCTCCATCTTCCCAGCTTCCATTGGAGACATTTCACAGTTTACGTGGGGTAGATTTCTCTGACAGACTCTTTGTTGCTTCATGGGAACGTCAGCCGACAGGTGATAGCCCCCAAACTTCCCACCCCAGAAGCTCCTTGGAGAAGCTCACCTGCCATTTCCTTATACTCTGGCTCTCTATTTTTAGCTGTTCACAGGCGAGCCAGCATGAATGCATTTTTCAGGAGAACCAGGGCTCAGTGTCAGAGCCTCCTTTTTCTCTGTATAGGTCCGGTCCATCTACCGGTGGTGTCATGTCATCCAAATAAAGCTGTTTTTGTTCTGCCCTTTTATTACCTGTGATTCATTTCCCCTGTAGAGTCAGACTTTTCTCTGTTTAGACTCGC